CGACCAATCCATCGCGTAACGAGGCGCACTTATTTCCTTCTTTCAAAAAAAAAAAAAAAGAGCGCCGCAGAAATCGCATCTCTAGTCTTCCCGATAATAATGTTTATCCGTTGCGTTCGTTTGTTTGAGGCACACACGAGATTATTCCAATTGTAATCCTATATGTTCCTAAAATATTCATAAAAATGTTCTCAAAATCTCAAAATAATATTCCAAGGGTATTCCGCGGAATGTCTTCAAAATGTAAGAGCAATATTCAAATAATCGTTAACTGTTCCATTTAATATATATATATATCGTTATATATTTTTGAGAATGTTCCATATATATGAATGTACCGCAAAATTATAATTTTCGCAGAAATTCCAGATTCCTGAATACATTTTAAATAAAATTGTACTGTCAAAACCACCTTGGCCGATGAAAGTAAAAGAAATGTCTTTAACAGTAAAATTCAGAATTCCCCAATTTTGAAAACTCACTTCACGAGCAAAATGCTGCGCTCCTATTCTTTTCCAGATGATTTTTATTTACGAGTTAATATATCTCCACCGCGGCCCTCTGTCGACGGAGATACGTACTGCTTGAATGAATGATTTCGTAATATATACAAGAAATGTTTATATAATGTTTTATTTCATTAATATTCTGTGAAAATTCTTTTGCTATTTCGAAATATTCGGCACACTGAGAATACGAATCGAACTTTCTATGAATGATTAGCGTCTATAACTGTGAATATACGTTGAAAAAAATTTCTGGGATTGAAAATGGCGAATCAGTAGACTCTGTGATTGTATTAACCAGAATTTTGGTCATCATGATTGGACATCTGGTTACCTCGATTAGAATTTATAATATTAGGTGTTGGAATTAATTCGTAGCGTTTTTTAATGAAAGAATGTTATTTATTTCACATGAGCATTAAAAAATACATTAATGAAAGTACTTCCCATCACTTGTAAAACGCTACGAATTAATTCCAACACCTAATACGTTTATTACTATAAAATTCCAATTTGTCCGCATTTTCACTAGAATTATAATTAATGCAGCTACTTTTTTTTGCATACATGTAATTCAAATCTGTACATCGCGCGATCATTTAAACATTGAACATGAACAAAATTTACAATAATATATATCTTGAATATATATTTATGTAGTTCAATTGTTTAAAAATTACATTAGGTCTATTCACATTCTATTCACCTGCACTTTTCGCACTTAGAATCTTTGCTTTCTCTCTTTTCAACATCCAAATATATGTTTATCTCGTTTTAAGTATAGAAATTTCAAATAACGCGCGAACAAGCTTATTATATTTGGCGAAAATATCGATGATTATAGAGAATAAAGTTCCAACTCTGTACACTACGAATTGTGAATTCGCTTAAATAAGAAGAGTCTCGTTTTCGCACGGAATTATTCTTGGAGCAGAGATATGTGGCGACGTTCGATAGATTCAGTTCAACGGCGATAGAGATAATCGGCAACTGAAGGATAGTGCCGAGAGAGGAAGTGGGAGAGAGTGTTCGTAAGCCGAGTAAATGCCTTCTTCAAGGTTTCCCTCCATTTGCCGACAGCTATTGGAACACGTCGGATCGCGTGCTGCGACTTGGCTCGTGGTGATTGCGGATATTTTCGAAATTTATCGACGTCATCGTATACGATGACAATAATCGGAACTCGGGTGCAAGAACCAGACGAGGCCACACTATTCCAAATGTCGCAGGAATTCCCGAAAAGCAAGATATTTCGAAATTATCGCATACCAAAGTTCTATCTTTATTTTGATATATGTATGAAACTAATAATAACATCAATAATAGATATACGCTTTTGCGGTTGTATCTTTCTTTATAGATGTATTATACGTATTTTTTAACAAAATGGGAAAGTTACAGATTTTTTTCTATTTTATCTTTGAAAGTAATATAAAACGGCGGATCGATCGCAGTTTAGACTCTAGATAAAAAATTATTTCACGAGACATCTAAAAATTATTATAAGAAATAGACATGTTTTGAAAAAATAATTTAGATAAAATGAGAAAATTTTCATGTAAACTATAAAATTCTGTATCGTTAAAATAAATAGAAATTTATTCATTTTTTTATACGGAATGTTTAAATGGAAACATATAAATTTCAGTTACTTTTTGCAGAATCTATACATCTGATATACCCTTAAATGTTTCTCAAGTGTTTCTCAAATGTATTCAGAATTTAATTAGTTCTGAGAACCTACAAATCTATTTGCGTTTCCTATAGTTCAAAGTCGATTAGAAATAATTACGCGTAATAAATATGATACCGCAATATCTAATGATGTGATTAGACGCAATAAAGTTATTAAAGAAAGTTGCGATTATTTATTTTAGTAATAACTATATAACAACGTTATCATATTGAGAGTTACTGCCACATGACGTTTACCGCACTGTTGTAATCACTCCGTTGATTATGTAAACACGTACAGTTGTGTAAACGTGTCTCTTTATTGCATCGATTTATGAACCATCACATATCCTGCGGCTATTAAAGTAAACAATTTACCGAGGAAAGTTAATTATCGCATAATCAACGTAAACGACATATTTGCGTCACGCAATTTTTCCAGTGAGATCGTCGTCAAAATCGTCGATTCTTCCCATTGTACTCTGTCCGAAATTCTTTTTTCTTTTTATCGTTGGGGGTTGGTTGATAAAAAAATTCGAACAATCACTACGTTTTGATACGATATGTTGACACTCCGTGTCCGTATCTCACGGTGCGTTTCCTGCCGCTGAAAATAGATTCCTTCGGACATTTAAACGTGGCTTTCGGTGGCGGAGGAGGAAGCGCATGAGCCCGAAATAAATTTCTTCGCGCTTTCGACTTTCAATTTCGACCGGCCGACGCGGCGGTTTCTCTGCGCGGTGCACCGACAACGTTCTCCGAAACTGACGCTAAATAAACAGAATTTAAACGCTAAATTCTACGTGAAATAACATCGAGGAAGGTGGACGTGGCATTGCATTCGATGCCTTGTAAATAGAACAATTAACGTTAGTTTAAGGACTAAGAGATTAATGTACAACTACATCTAAATATAAAATGGGAACTAGTTAATTGTTTTGAACGCATTTAGACGGTTTTATAAAACGATTTTTTAATTTTACGCTGGTAGAATTTAATAACAATTTCTACATACTGCATTGCCGGAAGCAACGAAATGACATTCCGTAGAAGAACGCGTTTAATCCGGAAATAATCATCTGTTTTATATCCCAGCGGTGAAAAAATATGAATTGTAAAATATTGTTTTGAATATTGTTTAACAAATTTTTTTCTTCTCTTTTTTAATAATTATTCTTGACAAATCTTTAAGTACGCAATTTCATCATCACGATAAAAGCATTGTATAATTATAATCTTTATTATTTTTTTTTTTTCAAGAAATACTGTCATAATATAAGCTATTTATTCCATTTATTTGCTTATTCCATTTATTTGGTTTTTACTTACTTTTTTTTTTAGAAGATTGTAATTCAATCCATGAACGGAACAGTTTTGCTGAAATATGTATCCTATAAAAATTTAGCTAAATATAAAATTTAAACATAATTTTGTTGAATCATCAAAATAATAGGAATTTCAAATATGAACTATGTTGCAAAAAGTTTTAACGTTTTTATAATCAGTTTTTCTCTTAACAAAATTATTTTGATGGTCAAACAAAATTATTTTCAAATCCGTATCTACCTAAATTTTTTAGATACTTCAGCAGAAGCATTCTTTCCATGCATATATCGTAAAGTTCTTGAATACAAATAAATTGGAAAACAATCAATATAAAATATTAATAATGTATGATTTTAATTGGAATGTAAAATAATCCAAGTGATCGTTTAGTAAAAAAAAAAAAAAAAAAAAATCAGGTGATCATTCTCGGATTAATTAGATCGTCTGCAGTATATACATAGACATACGTTTCCTCTTTCATTAATATTTGCCCATTCTTTAGTCTCGAAATTCTGACCAACGAGCCCGACTCGCCTACGTGATGAGCGTCACTTTCTTTATTCCTATTATGCTAGCTCACGTATAGTCTCACATACGCGCGTGTGTGCACGCGCGCATCGTGGTTGTTGCACGTTCATACACGCAACTCGCCGTGAGTGCGGAAGAGAGAGGGAAACCAAATGGGAGAGAGAGAGAGAGAGAGAGAGAGAAACGATGCAGCTAGAGTATACCGTGCGGGTATAACGCCGAAGGCATGTATCGGCGGTTCCAGCGAGGTATAGACGATGACCTTGTCGTCGGCAATTCACCCCGTCTGACCCCCCTCTCTTTCTCCTCCCCTCCATCCTGACGGCGCGGTACCCTTTCCTTCTTCTTTTCCTTCTCCTCCTTCACCTCCTCTTCGTTCGCCTCTTCGTCGGTACTCGATTCTCTGTCCCACTCTTCCTCGTCACCTTCCAACATCGCGCATCGTCGTGTCCTTCCCTTCTCCGCTCTTCTGCACCCTGCCCAACAACTACTACACCCTCTCCCGTCCCCTTCCCTCTGAACGCGCGTGAACCGACACGTCCAACGTTTTCCGTTCTCGTCGCACTCGTCGAAAGAGACGTAACCACGTCTCTCTCAAACTTCCACTCTCGCTCGCTCGCTTTGTCTTCCCTCCCTGTTTCTCTCTTTCTTCGTTTTCGCGCTTCGCTTGTATATCGCGTGCACTTCGCGCGCGAACTTCATTCCCTCTCTATCTTTCACTTGCCCTAGACTCACGTCTCACATTCTCCCTGTCTCTCTTCCTCACCTATCTCGCACTTCTTTCTTCTTCTGTTGCTCGATAAAGTGCGTCCGCGTTGTGCCCTTCGCTCCGTTTCCTTTATGACGAAAGCCTAACTAACTCTTGTCTTGCGCCTCCTTGTCTTTGTGTGGAGGATGGAAGATCATGGAGGACACTACTAGATATATAACCTGCGTCTCCCAATTATCTCTGGTTTCCTCCTTTTCTCTCTTTCTCTTTCTTTCTTGTGGTCCAGTCTCAGAAATCACATTTCTTTTTCTACTTGTACTTGCAGTCGCACGATGGCTATTCTTCTAAACTGCTATATTTTCAAAGAATAGATATATAGAAACTATGACGAGTTTATAATTTTTATTGAATAAATAAATATAATATCGCTCGAATATTTGAATTGCAAAACAATATATATTAGTAATGACCAATAAACGAGCACAATTTGAATTATAAATTATTTAATATGTATATTGAAAATATAATATAATTCGACTCACAGTCTTCATCAATATACTAATCGTAAAAATTAAATCTTTCATTCTGGCGTGTAAAAATATGATTAACAACTCTGGATCATCCGCAAAAATACATCGTGTCTATAATAACCATAGCCAAGATGTACAAAATCTTGTGTAACAAAATATTCGATAAACGACGAGAATCGACGTTAAGTCCATTGATATTAGATTTGAGTAGTCAAGATGTTAAAAATAGTCATGATGAAATGAAATCCGTAATTTAAATAAAATTAATAAACCAGGCAGTAATTATTTCGAGCTGTTACTTTTGACAAGTCCCAAGGATATAATTTTTACACATTGGAAAATATGGATTTTTTAATTCCGAGTGGAAGAAAAGAAAAAAATAGAAATAAATTGTTCGAATCTCATCTTTTTTTTTGGTGCAGCGAATATTGTATATTTGCGATAACGGCACATTTGCGAAAATACCTGTTCTTTATCGTTTCAACTTGCTCCCGTTCGTCAGAGTTAAAGATCCCTCCTTTTTGCTAAGATGTACATTTTCTGCTCGTTCATTGCGAGGATAGAAAGATCGCGGAAAGAGGAAGAGAGCGTGCGTAGGTTTCTTCCTATCTGCTCGTTCACTTTCGTTCGCGTACAGTCAGCTTCACAATGATTGGAGCATCTCTTGTTTCACATGTTTACTAGTACTTACTTCTATATATATATATATAAGAAATTTTTTGGATGAACTAAATTTTGGACAGAAGGGATGTCCGATTTGACAGAGAATATCCCATATATACATATATGTATACAACATGGATACCGTGGATAACGAATGAATAATAAAAAATGACAATCCTTATAATCATTTCACAATATGTCTTTATAATATTTTGCGACATTTTTGTTTCGAAGTGTACGTAAATATGTTCTTCTATTTTTTTTTATTAATTCTTTTCTATAATCTTTTGTGTGAGGAGAGAAATTTGTAAAAATTATCTTTTGAAAATAAAGTAGTTACATACAGCTTATTCTCATACTTAAAAGTTCAAATAAAAACGATCGAAGTCACTAAAAGTATGGGATATTCAGGTTTAAAAATTCCCACAATTTTATTTTTTTCTCGACTTAATGTAAATCGGATTTACCCATTGATACTAATTTAATTTACGATTTATGGGACACTTATTGTTAAAATTATTGAAATAATTGAAATTATAATTAATTTTTCCGTTAAGAAAAAAACGGAATTAAATTTATTGGGAGACATATGCATGTACGTTGCTTCGATGCTTCCTTTCGTCCTCTCTCTCTCTCTCTTTCTCTCTCTCTCTCTCTCTCTCTTTCACCGATATTCATTATCTACTATGTATGTCTGTTTGTACTTCCTGTTTCGTAAATTATATACTACTGTCCCACATATCCGTTCGTATTCGATCATATGTCTGCTAAACTTCGAAGTCGAGATCAGCCCACGATTATTATATTATAAAAAGAATCCCTTTCAAAGAGCAAAACTTTCGAAACTGATTCGTATAGCAAAAAAAAGGAATTTTCGAAAATCATTTGTCATTGTACACATCTCCATCATTTCTTAAGTTTTGATTAATTTAATTAAGTTTTAATTAATTTAATTGCGCGGAAGTTGATATTTTTGTGTGCATGTAATCGTTCAACTTTACATTCCGGACGTGCATAAACCTGCAGGCCTGTAACTTTTAACGCAAACTTGCGTTAAGGCAGGGCGTTAAGGCAATGATTTGTTACATAATCTGGACCATCTCTGAAATCGATCTGAAGGCGATCTGCAGAAATCTACAGAATGCGACGGACAATTTCCTCAATATTTCTCTCTGTGATATTACTTGGGAGTTGCACGCACAAAGTCGAAAGTTGACAACTCAAATGATTCATTTCCGCGCGCTCGTCTCCGGGAAGCGATTCCCTTCCTAATCTGTATCTTTACTTCATTATTATCATCGTGACAAGAGAGAAGGAGAAAGAGAGAGAGAGAGAGAGAGAGAAAGAAGGACGAAGAGGTTCGCCCAAATGCGAATTCACGCTTGCATTCGCGCATCACGATCTAAATATAACGCGACTCGCTACACGTACGCACTTTGCGTCCGTGCACTGTGACGTGCTCCTGAGACGTGCGCACGCGGCTGCATCGCCGAACGGCCGCGCCGCGCCGGTGCATAGTGCATACTACACGCGCGCACGACGTCGCGACCAGCCTAGACCTAGACCCACTGAGCTAGCCTAGATACGCGGGCATATGCGCCCGCGAGTGGGATGCGGAGGGAGAGCTGGGACAGGACGGACTCGGAGACGAGGAAGGGAGACCGGGGACGAAGTACGGACGGACTGAGCTGTTTCTAGTACTATCGGAGAAAGTGAACGGGCGTGGCGACGGCGCGCGGCGGTGGCGGTGGCGGTGGCGGTGGCGGTGGCGGCGGCAGTGGTGGCTCCACACGCAAAACTCTTCCTGACGTGCACGATACGGACCTTCCTTTCCTTCGTGTTCGATTTCTATTATATTATCTACTTGACACGCTCCATACATTGCGCGTACTATGTACATATGTGTGTATGCGTGTGCTTCTACGCGTCTTAGCGCGCCGCCG